GGGTTTGTACTCATGGGATAGGGTGCTTTCGGAGGTTTTTTAGGTAGGAGAGTAATAAACGTGGCCAAGTGGGGCAGAGTAACTTTAGAGAGAGGAGTGACCAGAAGGCCGGCTACTTAAAAGGCCATTACAATGATCTAGGAAACAGACTTTAAGCTCTTGAGCAAAGAAGATGACAGTGACAATGTGAGCAAAAGACACTCAAGATACAATTGTTCTTACTATTTTAATGACAAACATTTAAAATAAGAGGAACTGGAAACAATTGGAGAATGGCTTCCATTCCAGGGCTCTCTGCTTGGGGGAGATCATGGAGCCATTAACAGGATAGAGGTGACTTGCAAGGAGGCCCGCAGTGACTCAGGCAAGGCTGAACATAAGTGTGCTTCTCCTGCCTCCCAGCCTAGGGCTCAGGCCTCACTCAAATAAGCCTCTGTCCTCCCACTCCTTCCACGTTATTGCCTGGGGCCTGGCTCCTACTTCTTGGCAGGGCCTGAGCAGCGTTTTTAATGTTTGGAGTTTCAGTTTGACTAGAGGCCTGTCTGGGCTGGGTTCCTCAATCCCTCCTACCACCTCCACCAACACCTCCAAATCAAAATACCAGTCCTCTGAACTAAACCAGTGACCACGCAAGAACAAAAGAACCAGGCTTTTCAATGAAGCTTTTATTGCATGTGTGTGTTTTTTAATGACAACTCAACTTGACTATAAGAAAAAAGTAAAAGCACTAGAGAGCAGGATTTAAATCCTAGTGCCGGTACTGCTAACTGCCTGTGGCCTTCAACAAATTACCTCCCCTCCCTTCTGTAACTGTTACTTAGAGAATGCAGATTCTGACACTTCCGCTGCCTATCTCAGAGTTGTCATGGGTTCAAACCGGATAGCGAAAAGACTTTGTAATCACTGATTCGATAAAGAAAGGCACGGTGCTTTGCTCATCACTGTACCTCCCGCACAGTTCATGGCATGCAGAAGGTTCACAATAAATACTTGGAAACTAGTGAATTAATAATACACCTGCAAGATGTGGTTATTAAGACTAAATAGTGGGGACATCTGGGTGGCTCAATCGGTTAAGTGTCCACCTTTTGGCTCAGGTCATGATCCCAGGGTCCTGGGATCAAGTCCCACATCGGGCTCTCTGCTCAGTGGGGAGCCTAGAGCCACTTGCCAACAAAAACAAGTGAAGCACACATACATACACCCTTCTCCCTCTGCCTGCTGCTCTGTCTACTTGTGTGCTCTCTGTCAAATAAATAAATAAAATCTTAAAAAAAAAAAAAAAGACTAAATAGTGAAGTAGATAGGGCTTTCGAGTCACCGGCTTTGGCTCTGACCAGAGAACTGAATATACTAAAACACTGTCAGGCTCCAATGACTCTAAAGTGGCTTCCAGGCACAGAATCTAGACAAAAGGGGTAGTGGCCCTTTTGACCAAAAAAGCCATTTCTAGGGAAGATCTGGAACATTTCAGCCAGTAGGTTATCAGTGGAAAACTGCGCTTACAGGATTAACTATAAACTCACCTAAAATGTATTGAAACTCTCATACGAATTCATAGTCAAAATGCTAAGAGGTAAGTGGGCCCTCAGGTATCTAAGATAACCCATCATTTCACAAACAAGGTAACTGAGACAGAACATACAGAAACTCTGTGATAGAACCAAGACTAATCCAAGACTCCTGCATCCCACTGTGGGTTCTTTGAACTGCAGTGAGCATGCCTAGGAATGGGTTTAGTGGGGTCATTTCAGCTTCACATACTCCAGTGGTTCTCAACTCGGAGGAATTTTGCCCCCTGGGGGATAACTGACAATGTCTGGAGACAATTCGGACTGTCATGACTGAGGAGGAGGTGCTCTTGGCATCTAGTAGGTAGGTAGAGGCCAGAGTTGCTGCTCACATCCTTCTGTTGTTCCACACAACACACAGTGAAGGACGGACAGACAGCTCTTTACACATGTCTCCCCCAGGGTCTCATTCATTTTCACACGCGCAGGACTTTACCCACCCTTGACAGGGAGATTTGAGAAATGTTTGTGGACCTAGCAACAATGTGTTGGAAGCATGAGAGGCCAGTTTGGAACCAAGGGTGGACTACAATATATTCATTCTGTGACATTCTATGAATGCAAAATTGACAGAAAATACACACATCAGAATATTCCCCAATAGCAATATTATAATGGAAAAAGATTCACTATAATTTTTAAAGTCTTTATAACATTTTCATACTTACCTTTTACTAAACACTTTTTCTAATTTTACATTCTTTTAATATGTATCCCTTTGGTTCATATTTCATTCTGCCATTTTTTTTGTCCTGGAATATTTACATAGCTTTGAAGAGGTTATGACTGACTTTACAACCTGTGTTAAGACAGAAGGGGCCTCAGCAGCCACCCAGTGATTCTAACCTTGTAATCGACCTAATTTTAAGGAACCTGTGATACTCTGAAATTGAGTGCTACATTGTGTTTAGCCATACATTTTCCTTGTACAAATCCAGAATTTTCACATGCACACACACACACACACAAATCAAGAAAATCTACAGTTCCAAAAAGGTTAAGAGCCACTGATTTGTGCCAATTTTTCAGATGAGTAATGTAATGGCCAGAGAGAAGAAATCACCCAAAAAGTGAGCAAGACTTCTGACCCTCTTCTACAGTTCTTTCCACATCCCTGCTCAACCACCACCACCACAACACATTTGAAGATATTTCAGAGATGAGAAAACCAAACGCTTCTTCAAATGCAAAACAAAAACAACAACAAAAACAAAAAACGAGATAGTGACCGCAAGAGAAAGATTAAAAGAATCTATCATGTGACCCCTAGATCAGAACTCGCCAGCAGACAGCCCATCACCTCCCCGGACAACCCCGGCAATGAAATGCAGCCCAGTCACTCCTCCTCACAAAGTGGGGAGTGAAGGGTTGCTGGTAATCTTCAGAAGTATGCTATACACTCTCCAGGACACCAGGGTCGGGGGGAGGGCTGGCGGGGGCGGTGGTCGTGTGTCTCAGGGGATTCCCCCTTCCACCTCCTACCTGCCTGCTCCCAGCTCAAAATCCCAGAAGCAGAAAAAAGAAACACACCTTCTCCCCTCAATTCCCCAGGTTGGAGGTTTAGGAGTGAGAGAGTTCACAGAGCCGTAGCATGGGACACTCACCAGGAAGCCTATGAGGACAGAGGGCCGCAGGCAGCCTGGCAGAGGGCACCGAGGGCCCAGCCTGTCCATGGCGTCGCTGGTAATTCAGTAGCACAGCCGTGGCAAAGTGCAGCCTCGGGCTGAGCTGCAACCTGATGGGCGGGCACGGAGGGCCTACACTGCCCTATCCCCTCACCACCTGCTGCCTGCCCCACCGCCCAGTCAGGCCCCAGCCAGGCTGGCGGGGAGGGCAGAGTGAAGTGGGACGGGGCAGGGAAGAGGGAGTAATTCTCACTAGGCAATTCTCTTCCCAGAAACAAAAAACCCAGACACCATATGCTGACCTACAACCCCGGAAAAAATTAAAATACTAATTTTCCCTTCCTGTTCTAACAACAACAACAAAATGATAAAATTCCCATATATATAGATAAAGAGATCTACGTTTCTTAGATACATAAAACTTCCAGAAACCACGGCACACAAACACTAATACACATACACAAAACGCTTCCACTTTATAGGGGCCCATCCTGCCAACAAAAACAAGTGAAGCACACATACATACAGGCGTGCGCACACCCACACACACACCTGCCTTCCTGTCCCCCCCAGCACCTCCTCCTCCCAGGATCTCCCATCTAATTCTCCCTGGCTTAAAATACTCTTGTTCCCACCTGCTCTCCCTATGAACTCACTCATCTTTCTAGGCCAGCTGCTCCGTGCAGCTTTTTGCAGGGTTAGTCCCACAGTCCTCTATTTCCCCTAAGGCACTTCGTACACACTTTTGTTGCAGCATTCGACATCATCAACTATGGAGAGCTGCAAACAAGTAAGAGGAGCAGCAAGCTAATGACTGACTGCTGCCCTTCGGGGATGCAGAGTCCACTGATGCCACGGTGTACAGTTTTTTAATCCAGCTTTTTATGTGAAGTATCTTAATTTTTAAATGATATGTCTGGGGCAGGGGAAAGGACTGAGTACACAAGGCCACCAGTAAACTTTCTCAAGGAAACTGTTCTATATCTGGATTGTGGTAGTGGTTACACAAGTGTTTAAAAAAATTCAACAAAATTCAACATACACTTACGTTGGTGAATTCTATATTGTATGTAAACAGTACCTTAACAAGCCGGGGAAATGCTGGAAACCAATTCAAAATTGTTGTATGCTGGGTAAACCAAACAAAACAGATCTGTTAGCCAAATCTGGCTTGCAGGCTGCAAGTTCACAGTCTTTGTGTTTAATTATCTGTTTACTGTCTGTCTCATTCCTTGGGACTCTTAAGTTCTTAAAGGCCCACACTTCTCACCAGTGTCTGACAAAGTAGTTAATAAACCAGTTGTAGCCCTGGTCTTATCATTTACATAGTTAGCTGTGAAGACTCAGGCCAATTACATAAACTCTCTGAGCTCTGGGCCGGGGCGGGGATTAACAAAGAATACTCATGTAAGAATGTTGTAGAAAATGTAAGACCATGTCAGCTTTTCAAAAGCAAGTGGTCTCAGGACTCCTGGCCGGCTCAGCGGCAGAGAATGTGACTCTTGATCTCAGGGTTGTGAGTTTGAGCCCCACACTGGGTGTAGAGATTACTTAAAAAATAAAACCTTTAAACAAACAAAAACCAAAAGCAAGTAATCTCATACTGACTACCATGGTTAACTCAGAAAATCTCCATTTGTGATTGAAGAACTTAGTATCTGTGGAAAAACTGGGTTAGAGAAAATGAAGCTGTGGTCCTAAGAAAACCTTTTTATATCCAAAGTCCAGTAAAATAAGTCAAGACTGTGATCTTTTATACCTATTACATTAATAAGAAATATAGCCACTATTAATGACCATTTACCTTAGATCCCGAGATGACTTCCTGAGATGATGTCCCCAATTTTAGCACAGGACCCCACACAGCTTATGCTCAATAACTGTTTGTTGAATGACTAAATGACATGGATGTGTGGCTGGTGATGATAAGGATGGTCATGATGAAGGGAGATGTTGGGGCAACAGGGGAAAAATGGCAAGAGATGAACTGTCATTTGGAAGGCACTGCCTCTGAATTCTCTTCTTCCTTTAACTCAGGCACATCTACTCTCTCCAGATTCAATTCCAAGGTTAGATTCCAAAAGTCCAATTCTGCATTTATGGCTTTGGCAGATTCTTCAGATAGAGTGAGAGTCTCAGTGCCACTGCTTGAGGGTCCAGGATCTTCTTCTGGAGGCTTCTTGTCCTCTTTCCTTCTCTCTACCTGCTTCTCCTCATGGGATTCAGATTCAGACTCCCCTTCAGACTCCGATTCTGCATCCATCTTCTTCATCCACACTACTTCCTCTTTGCTTGTGTCTTTTTCTTTCTTCAGCTCCTTTGCTTTATTTTGAAGGTTCTTTTGCACCTCTTTATAGGTATATAACAATTTATTGAAGTCTTTTTTAAAGGCCAAACTTCGGTCCAGGAAAGGATCCATATCAATTGCAGCATCAATGAGGTCTGAGGCCTGGCGTAAGACAGCATTCAATTTCCTTAAATTCATCTTTACCTCTGGTTCCGGGGACTTGTCTTCTTCCGTATTTACTGATACAGACTCTCTCTCAGTTATGGCCAAAGCCTGAAACTTGAGCAGCTCATTAATTTCACCCTCTTCGATGTCAAGGAATTTAAAGTCCATCCGTTTTGCAGACTCTACGATTTTTGCAACTTCTTCATTAGCTCTTGGGAAACATGCATAATCATTCACAACATCTTCCCAAAGTTTCCACCAGGCTTTATTAAGGGCAGCTGGTTTTATATCATCCATTGCCTCTTTTATCACTACCAAAGCATCAGCAATGTTGTATTGCTGCCATGTTTCTTTCAAAGTAAGGCAAGGGTTTTTTTCAATACAGTCAGCAAAGTGGTCAAACATATGCTTGGTGTAATACCTCCTGAATGCTTCAATTACACCCTGGTCCAAGGGCTGAAGATAGCTAGCGCCTTCCAGAGGGAGGAACACAATATCAACATTAGGATGAGCAAAGAATAATGAGTCTGGGTGATTGGGACCTCTGTCCAGAATTAGCAACACTCTGAACTCAAGATTTTTTTCTATTAAATAACTCCGGGCCTGATGGATAAAACAATTATGAAACCAATCCAAAAAGAGGGCAGCGGTTAATGATACTTTAGGGTGTGATCGCCAGAACACGGGAAGGCGGTTTTTATCTTTTTCCAAAAGACAAGTGGGGTTGGGGTCTTTATAAAGCAGCAAGGGTTTTATCATTTTGTCACCGGCGGCGTTGGCACAAAAAATGAGGGCTATCCTGTCTTTAGCTTCCTCTAAGCGTTCGGGGTTTTTGTCTTTTTCCCTAAAAGTACGTGAAGGCATGCACTTCCAAAACAGGCTCACCTCCTCGGCGTTGAAGACCTGCTGGGGCACGTAGCCTCTGGCTCTGATGAGTCTCTGGACTTGTTTGGAATACTTGGGTGCCGACTGGGCATTCAGGGGTTCTTCCTCCCCCATCAGCCTCGAATTTCGCAGACTGTAGCGGTTCCTAAACTTCTCAAACCATCCCTTGCTCGCATGGAACTTATCCGGGTTGCCGTTCCCAGTGGTTTCGACCAGCTGCTTGTAAATGCGCTTGGCCTGGCTGCAGATGGCTTTCAGCGTCAGAGGCCGCCCCCCTATGGTCTGGTCCTCCACCCAGAAGGTTAACTCGGTCTCCATCTTCTCGATGTTTACATCACGGGGAACGCACAGCACCTTGGAGCACACCGGCGAAACACTCTCCATGCTGGCCCTGATGGCCTTCTCGTTTTTCTTAATGGTGCGCACGGTTGACTCGTGGACGCCAAACAGGCGCCCCACGTCGGTGTTACTCACGCCTTCTTCCAGCTTCTCGAGAATTTTCATCTTGTCCTCCAGAGGCATGACCCTCCGCCTCCTCTTGACGCGTGTCTGGCCCGGAAGCAGGATGCCCATAGCCTCCGCGCCGCCTGGGGTGGCCTCGGCCGCTGCCCAAGCCGCGGCGGCCTCCACCACCGCCGCCCTCGCCGCAGCCGACAGCCTGGCTTTGGGCCCGGGCGGCCGCCCGCGAGGCCGTTTAACCTTCTGTGGGTCCTCATTGTCACCACTCCGCTTGCCGGGCATCTGACGCGCCTTCGCTCTCTGAGGGAAATACGCAAGCCGACCGGAAAGTCGGCCTCCGCGACCCCCCGAGCGGCGCCCGCGATGACGCCCGGCCGCGACCCCGCAAACACCGGCGACAGTTGGCCCAGCCCCTTGACGGCCCCCGTCTCGCGAGGCTTGGCGGCCCCCGAGCGCGCGCGCGGCCCGCCGGCCCCCACATTGCTATTGGTGCGGCCGGGGCAGCTCGCAGTCCCGGCCGAAACCCCGGGCAGGGAGGCCTCGCCCCGCAGATCTCGCGAGGCTCGGAGCGGGTCGCCCGGAGCCAGGAGCCGGGATCCCGCGGAGCCGCCAGCCGGGGCGGGAGGAGCGCGATGGCGGCCCAGGCGCTGGCGCTGCTGAGAGAAGTGTCGCGACTGGAAGCGCCGCTGGAGGAGCTGCGCGCGCTTCACTCGGTGCTGCAGACTGTGCCGCTCAGCGAGCTCCGCGAGTTAGCGGCCGAACTGCGCCTCGGCCCGCTCTTCTCCCTGCTCAACGAGAACCATCGGTGAGACGACCCCAAGCATGGAGACGAGGGTGGCTGGGAGGAGGGGAAGGGTTCTCCCCAGTCGCAGGGAGGGTGAAGAAGTCGCTGACACTTTAGCGGGAGGGACCCTGGGTCGCGGGGCCAGACGCGGCGCTCGGTCCAGCCTCCGAGTTGTGTGATCCTGGCCGTCGTCCGGCCTCACTGCCTTCATCCTTGAAACAGGAATTGGAGAGGGAAGGCGAGGCTGCCCACCTAGAAGGAGGCTCCGCAGTCATGTGTACGGGTTCGTGCCTTTCTTTCCTCTTGAGAAGGGGTCCTATCCTGGTAATTTGACAAGGTCCACCCACATTTTAAAATTCACGTATCTTTTGATCCGTAGGCATGGAACAGGCAGGTATGCGCGCACTCAAAATGTCCTGTATAGAGAGAAGGCTGCATGACAGAAGGTGACAGCAAAAAACTAGAAACAACCTAAATATCCGCTAAAAGGGGTTGGAAATAAATTATGATACATTACTGTGTAGCCCTGTGCAGCTAGCAGAAGAATTGAGGTAGATCCGTATATGTGGACATGGAAAAATCTCTAATATATGTTGTTGAATGAAAAAGGGAAATTGTAGTTTATGATTCCATTATGTGTAATGTTTTTAAGGATTCAATCGCCGTCCCCCCTCCCCACTACACAGACTAGTAGAACACTGAGAATATCTGAAAGGTACAGCAGAAACTGTTAATACAGAAGTGGGACTTAGGATGGCAACTTTTTTCATTTTATGCACATCTGTACTGTTTGATTAAAAAGCACTTTGTATAAGTACTGCGCGCTAACCGATTGCGCCACTGGAGCTCCTAATTGTACACGTTTGTGATCCAGAAATGTAAAAGTGATCCTTCTACTTGAAACGGTAAAAAAAAAAAAAATCACTGGATCGACACTGGGTGATTTCAGGGGGCTTTCTTGGCTCTATCCTTCTGAGATTCCTCCCTTTTTTATACATGTTCTGCTTCATTAAACCCATTAGTTAACATTATCCGGTTCTGCCTATGAAATATCTCTTTTCTGTCCTCTTTAATTCAGGCCCTCATTTTCTCCCTCTTGCTGGGTAACTTGCTATTAGTCTGACTCACTACTTTTAAGCTTCTTTGTCCAGCACGCTCTTCCCACAGAGCAACCAGTTAACTTCTTGGGTCATTTGTCTCAGATCTTTGCCATGGTTTCCCATTGTCTACACTATGAAATCATGACTTCTTTTTCTGGCATTTGGGCCCTTACAGTATATTTCCATCCTACTTTTCCAGCCTCATCTTTTCCCTCCACTCCTCCACAAATACTTCATCTGCTCCAGCTACCACGTGGCACATTTACTTTCCCTTGAGCATGACTTGGCACTTTCGTAACTTTGTTCATGCCGGCCCTTCTAACTGAAATGCCCTCCCTCTCTCCAAATTCTTTCCATTCTTGAAAGCCCAGGTAAAGTGCTGTCACCTCCAGAAAGTCTCACTTGGCCACTCCAGTTTCAAGGGACTGATCCTCAGATCTCCTAAGAGACATTATCATTATTTCTGTTAATGATACTTGACACTGTTGCATTATATTATAGTTCTTTATGTGTTTGCTTCTGGTTTGAAAATCCTTTGAACGCAGGGGACATATTTTGTTCATCTCTGCATCCCTCTTAGGGTGTAGCACATAGTACAATATATGCCAAATAGAAGATTAGACTCATAAATTTTAAAGAGGCCACCTAGTCCAACCACTTTATATCAGGGATGAAGAAAATTTCAAAAGTCATAACCTAAATTAACACCAGAGATACAGTAGGAACTGAAATGAATGGGAGTTTGAAGAATAAGGTGCATCGGGGATGTGTTTTGCCTAATGAAGGAGCAGTGCTCTAGGAAACAGTTTTAATGGAAATTTAAAAACAGGGTAATTCAGAACTGGGTACATAAGAGATACCAGTTGCAATTTGTGAGAATAATAATTCTGCAGATAGTAGACTGGCAGTCTCTAGATATTTCTATTATCCCGGCAAAACCAGGTTGCTATATATTGGTTCAGAATCTGATCTAATAGATGAAAATCTAGAATCTTGACAGCAGTTTTTGTGATAGAAAGTGAGTCCTAAGATTATTGCTTTACAATATGGAGATTGATTGTAAATTATTAACTCTTTGGCTTTTTTACTATAAAGAGCCACATGTGATCTGAAATTTATGCACTATACAGTTTAACCTATGGCTGCTTTTTAAAAAAAAATAGCCTTATTGAAATGTGGTTTGCATAAAATAAACTGCACATAATAAAATAAACAATTTGAGGGGCGCCTGGGTGGCTCAGTTGGTTGAGCGTCTGCCTTCAGCTCAGGTCATGATCTCAGGACCTGGGATTGAGCCCTGCATCTGGCTCCTTGCTCAGCAGGGAGCCTGCTTCTCACTCTGCCACTCCTCCTGCTTGTGCTCTCTTGCTCTCTCTCTGTGTCAAGTAAATAAATAAAATCTTTAAAAAAAACTACACAATTTGACAGGTATTGACATATTGACATATGTATACACCCATGGAACCATCACCACAGTCAAGATAGCAAAGATATCTCTTACCCCCAGAAGTTTCCTTGTGCTTCTTTGTAATCCCTTTCCACCTCAGCCAGGCAACCACTGATCACTACAGATAAGTTTGCCTTTTTTTTTAAAAGAGTTTTATATAAATGGAATCCCACAATATGTACTCTAGTTTCTTTCACTCATCATAATTATTTTAAATTTTTCCATGTGGTGTAGATGAATACTTCATTCCTTTTTGTTGCTAAGTAGTAGTCCCTTGTATAGATGTACCACATTTGTTTTCGGTTTACCTGCTGGTGAACATTTGAGCTGTCTTCAGTTTGACTCTATTACAAATAATACTGCTATGAACATTTGTGTACAAGTCTTTACATAGACATATTCTTTTCTCTTTGAGTTAATACCTAGGAGTGAAATGGCTAGATCATATGACGGGTGTGTATTTAACTTTTTAAGAAACCGTCTAACTGTTTTCCAAAGTAATTGTACCATTTTACATTCCCACCAACAGTGTATGAGAGATTATAGGCCTAAATATAAAACCTAAAACTATAAAACTTCTAGAAGAAAACCTGGGAGAGAATTTTTATGACCTTGGGTTGAACAAAGATTTCTTTGGTGTGACACCAAAAGCGTGATCCATAGAAGGAAAATTGATAAATTGGACTTCATCAAAATTAAATACTCTGCTCTTCAAAGGCCACAGTTAAGAGAATAAAAAGGCAAGTCACAAATGGAGAAAAATCTTTGCAAAGAGTATATCTGATAAAGGACTTGTATTCAGAATATATAAAGAGCTTTCAAAATTCAGAAACAAGAGAAGTATCCAATTTAAAAATGGGCAAAATATTTGAACAAGAAGACACAAGGTTGGCAAATAAGCACATGAAAAGATACTCAACATTATTAGTCATTAGGGAAATGCAAATTGAAATTACAATAACAAAGCAATTCAAGTATCTACCAGCAGATGAATAGATAAAGTGTGGTATATACATCCAATGGAGTATTATTCAGCCTTAAAAAGAAAGGAACTTCTGGGCGCCTGGGTGGCTCAGTCGTTGGGCGTCTGCCTTCGGCTCGGGTCATGATCTCAGGGTCCTGGGATCGAGTCCCACATCGGGCTCCTTGCTCCGCAGGAGGCCTGCTTCTCCCTCTCCCACTCCCCCTGCTTGTGTTCCTGCTCTCGCTGTCTCTCTCTCTCTCTCTCTCTGTCAAATAAATAAATAAATAAATAAATAAATAAATAAAAAAGAAAGGAACTTCTAACACATGCTACAACATGGAGGAAACTTGGAGACAACATTCTAAGTGAACTAAGCCAGTCACAAAGGACAATATTGTATGATTCCAATTAGATGAGGCACCAAGGGTAGTCACATTTAGAGAGAGAGAAAGTAGAATGGTGGTTGCTAGGGGTTCAGGGGAGGGGAGAATAGGAAGTTACTGTTTAACAGATACAGAGTTTGGGGCGCCTGGGTGGCTCAGTTGGGTGTCTGCCTTCAGCTCAGGTCATGATCCTGGTGTCCTAGGATCCAGCCCCGTGCTGGGCTCCTTGCTCAGCGGGGAGTCTGCTTCTCCCTCTGCCCCTACCCCCTGCCCATGCTCTCTCATACTCTCTCTCTCTAGCAAATAAATAAATGAATCTTTAAAAAATAGATAACAGAGTTTTCCATTTGAGAAGATGAAAAAGTTCTAGAGATGGTTGATGGTGATGGCTGCACAGCAATGTGAATGAACTTTAATGCAAAGAACTGTACATTTAAAAAATGGTTAAAATGGTAAATTCCATGGTGTATCCAGTCACAATTTTTTTAAAAAGGAAAAGAAATCCATATCCATTCACAGTCCTTCCTCCGCCTTCCTCCTATCTGTCCCTCCCCTAGCCCCTGACAACCAGGAATTTGCTTTCTGTCTCTATAGATTTGTCTGTTCTGGACATTCATATAAATGGAATCATCATCAAAAGGAAGCTTTTTATGTCTGGCTTCTTTCACTTAGCATATTTCCACATTTCATCCATGTTGTATAATATTCCATTGGGTGGATAAAACTGGTTTGTGTTTATCCATTCATTAATTGATGGACATTTGGGTT